GAATAGGTAGGCAACAACCTCTATCCAAACGTATAGCGTATTTAATAAGTACAGTGTGCTCATGCAGCATGTTTTACGAGCTAGTTGTGACATTGGGCACATGGATTGTGCACTTATAGTCTTAACGCGGTATCGTAAGATATGGGAAGTTAAAAATTCCTCTTTCTAGAGCATCTTTGCACCCAGCGACGACCTTAGCTACAATATACAGTGGGGGTCAAAAGTTAGAGTCCAGTCAATATGATTTTTGTCACATTGATATGACCACAGCACTGCATGTGCATACAATCATGTTGTAGGAGTTAACACTGTTCTAATAATTATTCTGTATGATCTCTTTTACGTTTTACATTTTGTATGACATTATCATACGCAACACATCAGCTAGCACAATCCAAAAAAGATAAACACTATTTGCAATAGAAAATGACATGTCGGTCAGCGATGGAGAAACACGTTGGATGCAACCAACAAAATTTGCGATCCGTTCTCCAATGCCCACCGCTCCGTTTCATTAAGAACATAATAACCACGTGAGATTACATACCACGAATAAACATTGGCATTCCACGGTTTGTACCATTAAGGTGATTGCATAGACGAATTGTCCGGGTTCAGGAATACCTTATCATTCATATAATATATCATTTGGCCACTCACGACGGTAGCAAAAATCAATCAAGGACAACGACCCAGTAAACCTACGTCTAAACGAGGCTTTGTAACTTCGGCGAAGGAAATAAACAGCATGTGGAATGCAATAAACTTGTTGAGCTATTAATAATTTATTTAATTACTATATCTCTTGTCTGCATGCTTTCAGCTTATACTATTATGTTTAGGTTTCAACAGAGTCGCAAACGAGTTCAACCTTTCTCCGGGAAGGATTTTAAGTTTTGAAACCTTCCTCAAAATGACACCACTTCCCTTAGCCTACCTGCAAAAAGTGAACCCGCTTTGGAATGCTTTCCCCGTAGATGTGGAACTTCGTTTCACATTGAATGTCTTCTGCCCACTGATCTATCATTAGCCATTGCCAAGTTTTACAGCAAACAACGCCGTGTTTTCTGTCAGCGTTTAAGAGGACGATCACAGCGACGAAGAAAGTGATCCTGATGATGATGAAGACGAAGACTACGACAATGATACATGCAGAAAACGAACAGAATGAAACAACAGTAAACAATTTGTTGGAGAAAATAAGCCTTTTGCGAAGGTCTGACTGACTCTGACATTCCGTTGCTTTAGTTTCTTCTCCCAAGAAGCCAACCGGATACTTAACCGGAGCCATGTGATATTTAATAACACTACACTTGTAACTCTGACGTGTTTCGACGAGAAAGTTATTACTTTGTACCACAGAATTAATAGGGTCTTTACTACACTATAGTCAGTCTACTGGAAGGAAATACGTTTAAAGTACAAAATTTATAGAGTCTGACAAAGCATTACATTGACTACATCAGCTATTATTTTGTGCACTTTATCTAACAACATGGAATCGGTAATATATTAGTTTTAATTGATTAATCTGTGACTTTCACTTATAATATACTGGTATCAAGCAGATGTGAAATTGATTTTGTTATTGCGCTTCATTGCGTGGGAAGAGCTATTACGATGGCTAAACTGATCAATTCACTTGTGGATAGCTCCTTCTGGATATTGCCACTTTGGATTAAATTTAGCTCCTGCATATAGGGAAACATCAACAGACTATAATCAAAAGCGAATAGTCATGAATTAATGAACTGGAATTATGAATTTGCATTCAAGATCTTTTTACTCCTTTTCATACCGAGTTGTTTGATGCGGAAAATATTATCGTGGAAATTTTTTTAATTTTCCTATCAACATATCAGCAAATAGACTTTTCGTTATAATTATGTAATTTATTCTCACACCTGCTCCATCGCCGCACAAAACTATATTTCAGAGGCGCACCAGGTTAATAACAGAATGAATTAGTAGCTCATATTTGACAGTGATCAATCGAAATTTTTTTATACAAATTACTATGCAAGTCAGAAGACTGTCGGTCGTCTGAATTTACATTTCACACTTCATCAAACATCTATCGAAAAGATATTGTACAAGTAACATGCGATGATGCATGGGGTGCTTGCATGGTGCGGAAAATAAAGATGGTTCTTTTTTGAAACTGCGATTTCAAAAGGGGAATTTCAAGATAACAAACAGCTCACCTCTATCCACGCAAGGAAACAGTTTCTTAACTATGCAATTGAAGTGTAGTCATGGAGTTAAAATATTTCCCTGTCTTACAACATACGTATGCATGCATTGTGTTAAGCCAAGTCCAGATGTTTATTATACAAAACATTGAACTGGTGAAGTACGAGTGCTGTTAAGCAGTGCTTACTATTTAGTACATCTTATCATTTTCTCATTTCTGTTTTTCATCTGGGCAACATTACCGCTTTGTGTCATTTTTATTTGATGAGATGAGGGGTGCATTTCTGTCGTTTATTATTCGTGCACGATCTCTGCCGGAATCTAAAAAAATATGCTAATCACAATCAAAATGTACTAAAAATTTTTTTCTGCGGTTGTAATTGTATACCTTAGTGAATTCTTGTCCCTTCAATTAGCTAAGACAAAAACTTTCCTGAAGGACTATCATGTTTTCGTGAAACTAGCATCATGCTTGCATGGATGATTAAAATCGTAAGATAGTAAAATATTTTATTGCATAATTAGGATATCCTGTTATTTCGTCTCTCCCGCACTCGATCTGACTTAGAGTAGGTAGGCAACAACCTGTATCTAAAAGTATAGCGTATTTAATAAGTACAGTGTGCTCATGCAGCATGTTTTACGAGCTAGTTGTGACATTGAGCACATGTGCACTTAGTCTGAATGCAGTATAAGATATGGAAAGGGAAAAATTCCTCTTTCTAGAGCATCTTTGCACCCAGCGACGACCTTGGCTACAATATACAGTGGGGGTCAAAAGTGTGAGTCCAGTCAATATGATTTTTGTCACATTGATATAACGACAGCACTGCATGTGGATACAATCATGTTATAGGAGTTAACACAAATTTGTGCTGTTCGAATAATTATTTTGTATGATCTCTTTTACGTTTGAAAACAGCTTTAACTTTTTCTGGCCAGATTGAACCAGTTTTGTTCACTGGTATAATTTTATTCCAACATTGATTAAAGTTCACTGGTTTTCTTTATACTTCCATTCCATCTTCAACGGTAGCTCTTGATCTCCCAGATCTTCATTTGATTGAAAAGGAGCCATGAAGTGATAATAAGTGTATAGTAATATATTGAATTTTATTATTTCTCTGTCATTTTGTGTTTGGTTACCCACATAAATATTGATTGTTTGAATAGAAGAATTGAGAAGAGAGCGAAGAAATCCCTCATAACACTATTTGCTGTGGAAAATGTCGTGCCGGGTTCAGGAATATACCTTATCATTCATGTAATATATCATTTGGCCAATCACGACAGTAGCAAGAATGTCAGGAAAACCAAAAATTAATCAAGGACAACGACCCCTTAACCTACGTCTAAACGAGGCTTTGTAACTTCGGCTAATGAAGTAAACAGGATTGGGAATGCAATGAACTTGCTGAGCTATTAATAATTTAACTAATTACTATATCTCTTTTCTGCTTTCAGCCTTTCCGGGCCTATTATGCTTAGGTTTCAACAGAGTTGAAAAATAGTTCACTCTTTCTCCGGGGGGGATTTCAAGTTTTGAAACCTTCCTCAAAATGACAGCACTTCGCTGAGTCAAGTGTCAACCAGCATAATGTAATATTGGGGGAGGAGTTGGTACATGCGCGCTAGATGAAAATAATAGTGGGTTGAACTAATAATCATGCACAATTTACTGTAAATTATTTTAATCCGCCGCTGCATCAGTATGATCCATGTATTTTCTTCTACAGCTGTTCTTATATAATTATATAATGTCGTATATAGCAGGCATAGTAATCTAGTGTACTTGGCTTGGCCTCATTCGCTTGGCGATCATACGACCACTATAACGTTGTGAATATTTTGCATGAATTTAAAAACCATTATATACATGGCGTTAAATAGGTTGATTGTTTGACTTATATGTTATGTTAAGACTGTCTGTCATCAATTAAAATCATTTTTCCCCAAGAATGTCAGGAGAGGGATGTTTAATTCCCCCGGGTTTACATCAATGCATGCATTTCATCAAATAACAGTCGTCTGAATTAAAAACTTAATTCGTTCTTGATACTGAATTTCTTATTTATCATTTGTAGCTAAAGTGCATTACATTCCTTTCTTTCTTATTTCGCATGCGGCGATTGCAGTGAACATGTACAAGAGCGCGTTTTCGTCGCTTCCTGAAAACCGTTCGACCATTTCGCACACAAATTAGCCGACCCAGCGTTACAGCTAATATCGATATGCCATTGTTTTAAAAATCCAAATAAATAAGTTACAATTCAAATCCACCAATGAATATAATATTTTTGGAGCAATATAGACCCCTAAAATATGATAATATGATATACGAAAAATATTTTCCCTATGAATTTTATAAGCTTTAATCAGCCGACGAAATCAGCAATCCATGGACCAGCGCATCTACTTGCGTCAATGACTTTACATCGACATGTTCGAGAATGTTGTCTTCTATTTCCGTTGAACACTAGCTTAACTCACCCCCTGTGCCGATGATATTGAACAAGCTATATGTGTGTTTACATCATGCATGCCATCAAAATTCATTTGTAATTGACTTTATTCTGTATTTTTCTCCTCCTGTACCTGGAAGAGAAACCGTCTGTAAAATCGCACTGTTCTAACGTTTTCATGTAAAGGTTAGCTATGCGAGAGACTTCTTTTCTTGAATTCTGCATGGTTGCATGCGTGAATGTCATGCATGTCAATGTCTTTTCCGCAAAAATAAAACATTCCGACTTATAACGATGACTTGTGATGACTTGCGACACGCAGCTTTCTGCAGCTTTCGTCCAATTGGATATTGCTTTTCTATGCTTGCTAAAGAACGAAGCTGCTGCACTACCCGATGACTATATAAAGAGGAGAAAACCTTGTCACTGCTCACTTCATCGACTGAATCCTTTCACTGAAGACTGAACATTTGAAGTAAAGCTGAGTTGTAAAGAAATGTAAGTTACACGATACATTTTATACTCTATTTTTTAGGCATCTATATAACTTCGCGCCCGATTCATATCTCTCTATATACATATTATATTCATTCAGTTTACGTTCATCTTGAGTCTGTATATGTTAAGGTCTATCACATAAAATTTATGTAATTTTGCATGGCCGACAACAGCGCATGTATGTATATCAATTATTATAATTATATAAGTTTATCATAGTATTCTATATTATTCTATCATAGTATACCTCTATTGTTTTGATTTATTTTCCCCATCAATGCATTCCTTTTATATTATGTTATTCATGCGTAACTATTTAATAATTTCTGTAACTTATATCTATAATTTCTCTGTTTTATAGTATAATGCATGCTATGAACTAACGTATATATACCTTGATGTTTTATATTTTTAGCTCATCATGAATTCTAAATTTATCATCTGCTTGTTTCTTGTGATTTTCACCGTCACGAATGCAAACCTGGTGAAACGACGCGTGAACTCAGGTATAATTTGAAATTATAAAGCGATACGTCGTGATTATCCATCAAAATGATCACAAAATAGAAATATTTTGTTGTAATTAATTCAATCATTCTTCTGTCGCTGCATGGATTATTTTGTACCGCCTATTTTGTTTATAGACCTTCAAACTCAGTGCGAAGACTATAACTTTTTTTGTTGTCCTCTCACGAATCCTCCGACTTGTGCTGCGGGAGATGTATTGCCGTATGCGTGCTATGGATTGGGTAGTGTTTGCTGCAGAGTACCCTGCTTATAAGGTACCTCACGAGTTTATAAGTTTGCATAAAAAGCTAAAAATTATACAAAGCTGAAAATTAAACAAATTAACGGCATACAAAGCTGAAAATTATACAAATACAGCTCATCCTTACCGCGAAACAAATAGGAAATAAACAAAGTAAACATGCACGTACCCTTTGAAAACACCATTGTCTAAAAGAACACTTTTAAGCTTGCAGATTAGGAAATATTTCTCTTACACGGCTTCGTCTTGACCGTATCCATGTTCTTTTTTGCTATCTGCCATGCTTCATATAATTTTATTACCTTGTTTCTTCTCGTTTTATTTTGCACAAAGTTTAAAGGCTTTTACAAAAGAGTTTACGAAAATAGGAAATGACAGTTATCTTGCTGACGTTCTCATTGAAATACAAACCTTCTGTCTTAGCCAGTCAGAAGGTTTGTTGATTACCAGTTGTTTCTCGCGCATGCGCATAACTTACAAAACCGCCCAACGTCGAGCGTCCATGCCATAGAACTTGGAAAACTTTCGATTCCGCTATGTTCTGCCGGGTTCTATGTATAATTCCTAATCTCCAAGCGAAATTAGTTACCCTGCAGCCGCTCCGTGCCCGCTCGAGCTAGGATAATATTTACAAATATTTTCATTCTTTTCCATTAGCCCCCTTCACTCTACGCGTGATATTTGGTACGGCACGGATAAAAGTTCCGGCCGTGCCTCTTTTACAAGTACTTGGACTACCTAAATAGGTAGTCCAAGCACGGATAAAATCATAAAAATGGTATGGTTGCCGTACCAAGTATCGCGCGTAGTGTAAACGGGGCCATTATCGCACATTTTTCATGTCAAGTGCTTTTTCATTTTATTCCCTGTTTATGATCACACTTGGAAATGACTTTGTGATGTAACTGTAAACTTTATAGGCTTGTCAATTTATTATCATATCAATGCTTGAGATTGTATACGTTAATCATATGAAAGCCTGATTAAGACAAAAATTTTAGTATAAATATATATAATTATTTTTATTTATTGATATTGCTGCCTATTTGTAAGTTGATGCAATTTATAATTATATATAATATATAAATATATACATATAAATATATAAATATATATATATACCTTCTTTTTTCTACTTCCATTTAGATACCGAGTTTGCTCAAAAGTTGACGTGGAAAGTATGGTTATAGAAAAATCGACAAATATCCTTAGGCATTTGCTATGCATGATGATTTGAATTTGTTGAAACGGGATTAGAACTTCAATAAAGTTTGAAAAAGCTATACTTGTGTACTCTTATCATGTTTCTTTCCAAGCCTGTTCCATATATTTTTTCGAAAACCGAAAATATCACCACATGCAGAATAATCGCTATGGTTGCAGGTTTAAATTCAGGTGCCTCAATTTGTAGGCGCAACCTCCGGTGCGGGATTAGTACCCTTGATTGGTGTTTTGCGCCTGCTCAGGGATTAATATAATTTATATGTATTTTCATTTTCAGTTGCAATTAACATGGCCTAGAGCTTGAGATTTAGCTACTTTCTTGAAATAACAAACTATGACTTATTGCACTTTCTTATGATAAAATAATTGCTCAAGTGAATCCATGTTAACAATAATTAAATTCCTATAATAGATATATGAGAGAACATTTATGAATAACATCAAAACAATTAAGAATTTAAAATGATTTATTTGCGACGTTTCGTCATTCACTTAAGATATCTTCAGACTAAATGACATAAAATGACATAATATTTGAGTATATATAAACTATTTTTTATTGATATCTATTTATTTTATTCAAATCTTATATATGTAATTTTATATCATTTAGTCTGAAGATGTCTTAAGTTAAAGAGGAAACGTTACTGTACTTCTCACGGACCGAACGATAATTTGCAGTCACCGAGTCGCGCAAGATGTAGCTAGGTGGTACGCTGATATTTCGAACTCGACAGAATAGAATTAGCAATCAATGCCTACACACATAATGGTGACTTTAATATCGAAATGATTTGTTGACCATGCATCCAAATGGATGTCCGATCGGCGTTGTAGCAAAGGTTGTATGGTGGGTTATCACAGCTAGTGGGTAGATATAGGTATAGGTAGGTAGCAGAAATGTAGATACGTATAGTTACGTAAAGCATAGTAAGTTCGAACTAGAGAACAGTGTTGCGTGATCACATGCACAGCACGCAATTTTAACGATCTCATGAAGCCTATAATTATACGGTTAAAATAGACAAATAGTGCGTCATGATCAATAACCTACGCGTGCATGCAAAATAATTTGAATAGTGTTTGAAATGTTCCGTAAATAAAACTAAATTTAAGGTTCGAAATGCGAAAATAATCTTGGTAACAAACTAAATTAGAATTAACAAGTAACTAAATATAGATAGATGGATTTAATAAGAAAACACATTGCAGTCGATTACAACTGAATTGCGTGTTACTTTACATCAGAAAGTATTATTAATTTTATAAAACGTGCATTTTAACATATATGAGCCGAGAAAATACATTATTATATTTACGAGGATAAAAGATTACTTAGAAAATTATTTAATACAGGAACGAATGTTTTAAAAAATCTATCAGTTTTCGTCAATAGCGTTTGAAAGACGCGAATGATGCGCAGTTCGTTCCATGACGGGACACGGGCTGGAATTAAAGCTGTCAGTTGATGATCAGGATTTTTTGTTTGTTATCTGATTATATAATTTGAGACATGCTTGCCTACGACGGTCGCTCAGTAGTCAAATTAGCATTTTTCAAACGTTCATCATACGATAACCCCAGGAAGATTATGGATGTAACTCTTCGCTGAACTCGTTCAATGTTGTCACTGAGATACTTGGGCAGAGCAAAGGGAAATACTTCGCAAGCGTACTCCAAGACCGGTCTATTAACGCAACAACAGTAAATGTTTAAATTTTCTTTAGCTGGCATTTTAGCTCGTTTTGATGGACAATAAGGAATATTCTCTTTGACTATGTTAATGACGTGTGTTGACCATTTAAAATCATCACTGACTGTAACGCCGTGAATTTTAGCTTGGCGAACAAAGTTTGGACATCCAGAGAAGAGGTGGATCTTATCAAAAGGGACTCTGATTCTGTGAAATTGGAAAAGGAGCTCTTTACATTTATGGGAGTTCAATTCGAATTTATTATTTTGGTTCCAAGTTTTTAGTTCGTTAACTCCAGACTGAATTTGGCTAGTTCCGTTTCTTGTTATTACTTCCGAGATCGTTGTGTCGTCAATATATTCCCAATGGGTAATATCCACAAACTTCAGTTCATTTACCATAAGGATGAAGAGCCAAGGGCCCAGCTTTGCGCCTTGCGGGAACCCACCAGGGACAGCACCCCACTCAGAGACACAATCTCTTGCCAATTTCACACGCTGTTTTCGATCACACAGAAAGCTATATAGTAAGCCAGTTTTTTATATAAACTGGTATGGGCAATTAGCCATTTCCCGATCGATCAGGATACTGGGTCTATTCGCGAACCGCAAAGCATTTATGTACTGTTTGGAGGGACAGAAAACATATGTTTGAAATAATTTGTCCCTCCAAACAGTCCATAGATGCTTTGCGGTTCGCGACTAGACCCAGTACCCTGCTTGATTGGGAAATAGCTAATTGGTGGATTTTATTGATTAAGGGTTGAGTGATCAATGATATCAAAAGCTTTTCTATAGTCAACAAGGAGGACTCGCACCAAGTTTCCAGTTCCATCGGTGGCTTTTACCCAGTTTTGCAACATACTGATATGAGCGATAGGTGAGGATGATCTTGGTATTCCTCCAAACTGCTGAGAGGCAATAAAGTCCAAGATGGCAGGGGCGACAAATCTTTTGATTACACCTTCTTCAGCTAATTTTAAGAGACTACAGGTGAGGGATATAGGTCTTAAGTGGTTGGCTATGTCACATGCGATTATTTCTTTTGGTACTGGGATAATGTTCACTAGTTTCCATTGCCTTGGTAATGATTGATGACGGATTGAACAGTTGATTATACAAGAAATTGGGTATGCTAAGATCTCGGCATATTCCTTATGAATAAAATCTGAAACATCATCAGGGCCAGGTGCTTTCGAAGAGCTTAATAGCTAGAGTTTTCCATAAATTACACAATGTGTAGTGATATCACGAGGTTGATCAAGTGAAATAAGAGTTAGATTGTCATTTGGGTTAAAGGGATTGAATTTCCGCACAAAGTCTAAAAATGCGTCGTTGATAGCATTAGCTAAATTAGACAAAGGCAGCTGTTCTAAATTTTGCTAGACAAAATGGATTAACGTTTTCATGCATTTGTTAATCATGCATCTGTCTGGGGAAATCTTGATTGGTTAATTTTACGATATAATGTGAAAAGGGCAACATTCCCACATTCCAGAAAAAAAGGCACGCTGACGGAGATTTATAAGCTGGCGTAAGTCCGCACTGATCCATGGGTGATCATTGGGATGAATCAAGAGACGTTTTTCAGGCATTATGTGGTGTAAGCCTGAGCCGGGAAAGGATGTCAGTGAACAGTTGGTTTTTAATCTCAACTGATTCAAGCGATTTCAAGAAGGACCAATCAACTTTGCTTAAATAACGTCCAAACATAATTTTACGGGAGGATTTCGTATTACGTTTGTAAACAATCTTCTTCGGGTTAGACTTTGGGTCGCGGATTCTTGGAGAGACGACAATAACTTTATGGTCAGAAAGACCAAAAGGCGGGTGTGCAACGATGGAATCTGCTTCAATATGATAAAAGGAATATAAATTAGTGAGTGCCGAATCAAGTGTATTGGCCCCTCTTGTTGGAATCTTAACTAATTGTTTTAAACCAAAGTTTATACATAACTGTTTGATATCTAGATAATTAAAGTCACCAGCCAAGAGTAAACCACAGCCAGGATAGAGGCTCTCAACCCTGGTCAATGAAATGGTTAGGTATTCCAAGAGCTCACTGTCATTCGAATACGGGGGGTGGTAGAGGGTAGCAGTGATTATGTGGACTCACGTACGTACCGCATAACTTCCAAGTTTGAACACTCCAGATCATGTGGGCGGGATATTTTGGGGTTGAAAAGGTCAACCCAATCGTTATATCCGCCAACCATGAAAGTGAAAAAGAAGGGAAGACATCGAGTATACAAAGCAAACAAGTGAGTACCAAAATTCAAACTTTACGAGAAAGTAAGAAATGGGCAAAAACAAGCTTCGAAAAAGGGGTTACGAAAGCTAAGAAACAGTTTAACGGCCTAATGGAGAAAAAACTTCCTTTTATACCACTGTCTAGTAAAAACGCTATAAGAAGAGCTATTAATAAAGTGAATTCTGAGACCAATATCATTGAGAAGATTATTTCCAGCTTAAAGGAAATTTACGCTCTGAGCGTGGTAACAGATGAGACTAACACAGTTAGGGAGACTTTAGACAAAGTCACAAAGAGCTGGAAGACATATATATAGGGTCTTCGGTCGATGCAATAATTGTAGTGGCTGAACAGCAGCATCTCCAGGCGGGACTAAGTAATGGTGAAACTGAATCAGTGTTAACTTAACTTCACTCGTATACTGAAAGTGGTCCCAAGTCTCCAGTGATGCCGACAGAGGCCTTAGGTGCCTCAAATGTGGAACAACAAGAGAAAGAGGCAAAGCAGGCTAGTGAAAGGCTAATCGAGTTAGAAAACGAACAGCGAGTAAAGGAACTTGAGCTCAAAAAACTGACCGCTGAGCTTGAGCTCAGAAAACATCGGACCGATGATGCACGGAAAGTCGCAGATCTTGACAAGTCCCGGGCAGAACCAGGGGCCGGTTGTTCGAAAGGCGTTTAGCTTAAACGGTGGATAAGCCAAAGTTTAAAAATACTCTCATGGATCTTGTGAATGACTGAATTTGCATCGTATGCGTTTAATTTGTACTTCCATTGAAAATTTAACTTTTTACATGAAAATATTTCAGCTCGGTTGTTCAATAAATCGATAATTTTTTTTTAAATTTTAACTTATCCATTTGAACTCATGGGTGTCATTCTTTCAAGTCGTTTGGCCCAAAGTTCTCTGAAAGTCCTGACCGTCGAGCGAGTGATGTTTTGGATTGACTCCGAGAATGTGTGGTATTGGGTGCGAAACCACAGTCGGCAGTTTAAACCCTTCGTAGCAAACCATATCGCGGAAATTTAATGGACAACCAGCCCATGACCAATGGACGCACGTACAAGGGTTAACAGAATCCAGCAGATCTACCAAGCCGAGGTCAATCTGCTATTGAACTAGCTGAAAACATGTTTTAGTTGAAGGACCATAATTCTTGAGAGAGAATGAAAACTCGTGGCCATCAGCACCTTCGAGAAAAGAGGAGACGAAAGTTGAAGTTTGCGAAAAGCGAGTAGCACATATAGTGCATAGTCCAGACGCGTTTCAACCTTGGTGTTGATCCAAACTATTGGCCACATGGGTTCGAAGATTTCTTACAAAATGCAGACTTCTAAGAGAAGCCCGAGTGTTAAGCAGAACACTTTGAGATATACTTGACGAGGAGAAGTTGTGCATCAAGCAAGCCCAAAAGGACGCTTATCAGAAAGGAGAACGAGGAGGATGTTTGCTGCGTCGTAGTCCAAAAAGCGGTGACGATGAACTTCTGAGAATGGACGGGCGTTTAAGACTTGCAGACGAACTGTCTTATGACACAAGATACCCCATTTTATTGTCAAAGGAGCATGTGCTGACACAACTCATTGTGAAGGACGCACATGAAGAATTGGGATATGGTTCGGGAGTTGAGCAGGTTCTCACACTGCTACGAAGTCGTTTTTCGATCGTCAAAGGAAGGCGTGTGGTAAGGAACATCGTTGAGTCGTGTACGCAATGTCGACGACATTTTTCTGTGAAAACAGCTTGAAATGAATATTTGTTTCATGCATAATAATGATATCATGCACTGAGAACAGGTTTTATATTCTTTTTCTCCTTAACATATCAGAAAGTAGACTTTTCTTCATATATTCCCACATCTGCTCCAGCGCTGCATAAACTACGAAACGATCCAGCTTTAGAGGTGCGACGCGTCGTCGCGTTGATAACAAAGTGAATTATTAATATTTGACCGTGATAAATGTTCAATGGACGACTTGCGCTTTAACTAATTTCTTATCTGGGCGATAAAACGGACATTTTCTGAAAGAGCTTACTAATATTAATAAAACTGCCAAGTTTGACTGCGAATTGTTGTAAAATACGGGAAATATAGCCATGCGAAGTTCACGAATTTTGTATACTTTTGTATTACGGCCGGAAGTTTGTAACTAATTTAGTTACACATTTCCGCACGTAATACAAAAGTATGCAAAATTTTGCCAACTTCGTAGGGCTATATTTTCCGTATTTTACAAAATTTCCCAGCCAAGCTTTGCATTTGCACTAATTGAGATATTACTATTGAATATACTAATTGAAGTAAGATATGATTTATTTTCTTCGTACTTCGATAAAAAATTAGTCTAAAGCGCAAGTCGTCCATTCCCATGGGAGGGAGAATGTAATTTTTATCAACTTTTTTGTCGACCCAATATTCGTTCATTTTTTACCAGAATGACGCGTACATGGATGTCATTTGAAAGGAAAATAAATAAATTTAACAATGGTGTAAAAATCAGCCAATTTTGTCACATATATTCTGCGTAAATACACGCCAAATTTGGATTCGAATTTTTTTATACACACTGTAATTTTGGTTTATATTTAAATTGATACAAACAAAATAACAATTTACAAAACGCACGTATGTGTACACAGTGTACATTCATGTAGTGTATCCTAGCTAGGTTGTCATTTATATATCTAAATTATAATATATGAATACCTGTGTGGTTTTTTTACTTCTTGTTAGATACCGACGTTGCTCAGAAGTTGTCGTGGAAAGTATAGTTGTATAGAAAAGTCGACAAATATCTTCAGGCATATACTATAATTATGTATTGTGATTTGAATTTGATGAAAGAAAAGGCTATAATAATAAGGCTATAATAGAAAGGGCTATACTGGTGTCTCTTGTCATGTTTCTTCCCACCCAGCCGAAAGGGTTTATTTAGTCCGGAGTGAATGTGTGATGGTGACCTCATGCAGCTTTTTATACCAATATAAATATGTCGTTTGGCTTACGAAACAGGTTGAGAAACAGTGGTGTAGCTCATTAGGGAGTAGGTTAGGTCACTTAGCTACCGCCGGTGTAGCGCAGCAATTGGGTTTTGTCTCTTTGCTGGTGTGATATATAGCGGTGAAGCGCAGCAATAGACCTTATTCATAATTACGTAACAAGCCGTGCAACCTGCAGGGAATTCTGGTCTTAGTAGTCACAGCGGGAAATTTTGAAGTTTGCATTCTTCGCCATGACCACTAAAACAAGAATTCTCTGCAGGCGTCACGGCTTGATACGTCATTATGCATAAGGCCTATTGGGTTTGTTCCCTATGCTGATGTGATATACAGGGTGTCCCAAAAAGATGTCCCTCTATTGAAATCAAGCCTTTGCTAGAATCTGATTGTCTTAATATTATGATAAACCCAATTGAAAGCAAGACGCTTTATTTGAATGCCTCAATCTAATAACTATGCTATTTACACACTACTGCGTTTCAAATTCCAACAAAAGCTTCATTTCAATAGGGAGGACTTAATTTTTTTTGGGACACTCTGTATAGCGGTGTAGCGCAGCAATTGGGTTTGCTCTCTTTGCTGATGTGATAAAAAGCGGTGTTGATCCTTGTGGCAATATTGACCATGAAGCTCTATGAAAAAAGTGTATTATTTTAATAAAAAAAACGTATCGTCATAATTATATTCAAATTTACAGTTTTGAGTTATAAAAAGCTTGAAGGATGCGGTGGGAAAAATCATAGTAACTTTTACGCGATTCTGACAGACCAATTAAAGCCGGTATGGCCATATGGTAGGTACAAATGTCACCTGTATGGATTCTTTTAGAGGTAGTCTGCGGTACCACATATCTCGCGCGCAAAGCACGTTTTTAAAAAACCAGTACAGCCAGTTGGCCAGTCATGAACATGCTACGTCCGCAAACAGCACAAACCTTTCATGAAGGTCTACGCTGCGACGACATGCAAGTCCTTGAGCCAATGTTCTGCTTATCAACCTCTTGCGCATAAGCGGCCAATTTCCTTTCTTTTCTATTTGCTCATTTTTCAACTCAGAAATTGTTTGCGGAAATGTGATCGAATAGGTAGTATACACCTGTGAATTTTGTTGGTTATGCGGCCTCCCATTTTGTTCCGGGTTATTCCTTGGTTCGGCGGCTGCGTTAAGGCTTTCTTCCAGTTCACTGTCAGTCGCATTAGGGTTGAATCGACGTTCTAACTCGATGTGATCTTCCACATGGCCGATTAGGTTTTCTATATGAACCTCTTCCTGAACAAAGCACACGATAACCTATACAAGCATATTAAGTTAAATTGACGGATCACACAATAATTAGTCCATTGCCGCAATTTCACCTTATAGTTTTCATAAAACGTTAATAAGCCTATAAAAAAACAAAAAATTGAAATTCGCTATAACAACTCCAGAGGCCGGTTTTCGAAAGGCGTTTAGCTTAAGCGGTGGATAAGTTCAAAATGGAAAACAAAATTATCTATTTATTAAACACTGAGCTGACATATTTCGATATAAATAGTTTAGTTTTCAATGGAAGAACATAATTATTTTTAAATGATGTAGCAAAATGTTCGTTTAAGTCATTCACAAGATCTATTCACAAGATATATTTTTAAACTTTGGCTTATCCACCGTTTAAGATGAACGCCTTCGAACAACCGGCCTTCGGTTATTTAACAAATAGATAACAGTAATTTAACCGTTGTCTGTTCAGTTAATAATACACGGTAGGAGGTCATTACTTTTTGATTTTGGTTTTTTAGAGTTTATTTAAAAATTGGGAAATGCTTCCTGCAGCTGTTTAAAAGTTAGTCTTCTCGTAGACCCTAGATGGGTACATGGTCTACAGGATTGAAGAGATTCTAGCTGTTGGCTAAACTAAACTAAACTAGACTAAAGTGAACTAGACTAAACTAAACTAAACTGAACTGAACTGAACTAAACTATTTAAAAAACACGAATCGAATGTTATTTAATCCAGACAAGTGAGTGGAAAAGTAAAAAGCAGGGTATTAATAAGCATATATCGTCGATATTACCCTTGTAATATGTCTTATTCGTTGCACAGGGGTGTAAAGACCACCTGTAACTCCCATAAAGTCAAAGGTACTCTCTGCACTCTGGTTATTCGGTTGGTTACATCCAATGCAGTGTAAGACAATACCCTTGGCCGCCATTCGGTGACATATCTCGGAAAGACCTTGATTGCCTTGTAGATTCCAGTCCCCTTAAAAATAAATACATACAAAGTACTCAAACAACTTAAATCTTGGTGTTAAGGGTGAGTGAGATTCAGCGGGGCCCGGGATAAATAAGTAACTATGATCCCCTTCCCCGGCTAAGCGCAACCCTTATTCGACCCTAGACCTTATTATCGCGGGTCGATAGACACGAGGCCATAATTTCGGCTTGGTCCGCCGTGTCGAGTTTTTTGCCACATAACACCAGTTTACGTCTCGGGTCGGTAACGTCACATCATATACCGTAACGCGCGTGTATAGAAATGTTGATTATAAGAAGGACAATATCCGGGGGGATATTTCCGCTGTAATCTGCGCCAAGCAAATAAACTAGACACTCCAACTAAACCTAACCAAACGGTATTGCTCCAAACAACCTAACCACACCGTATTGTCAGATAAAAAAAGGAAAAATCGCTCATTTAAATCGGTAAGATGTGTACGATGAAAAAAATAGTGGCGACCCTTCTGAGCACTCGGCAAACGCAAAGGCAAACGCAAAGGCAAACGCAAATGCAAACCGGCAAACGCAAAGGCAAACGCAAATCGGCAAACGCAAAGGCAAACGCAAACGCAAAGGCAAACGCAAAGGCAAACGCAAACGCAAACCGGCAAACGCAAATCGGCAAACGCAAACCGGCAAACGCAAATCGGCAAACGCAAAGGCAAACGCAAAGGCAAAGGCAAAGGCAAACGCAAACCGGCAAAGGCAAAGGCAAAGTTATTTCACTGAGGGTTAGTTTTTTGCATAATTTCCAACATATTGTAATAGAAGAACAAGTAAATTAATTTTTGCTAATCTCTGCCAGGGGCGTAGGCATCGTCACTGCATTGCATTAGAGTCCGTTAACATGCATGACTATATGAATATTGCATGCCTCAATTATCGATGCTATTACCTGTCCCCACTCCCCATTATAGGAAATTTTAAGAAGGAAAGAATTAGTACACTGCTTACCAATCCAGAAACATATCTTTGTTGCGGTTGGGCGGAATTGCAACCTAAGAACCATATTCAAGCCATCAGCCATTGCAAAGGGTGAGTTATTACCCTCACAAATCATTGAATGAAACCAGTCTGAAACAAATATGCAGCAATAAACACAATTTACCAATAACCAGCAGTATCATAGAATAATGAGAGGACTACAGTATAAACAGATTTAAACCAGGCTTACACAATTGGCAGTTTTCTTTAATGAAAACCATGCAAAATTGGGTCTGACAGGCAGGGAGAGATCAGTGTGAATATGATGCGGTCTTAAATTTCAAAAGTTCTTTTGTCAAAAATGTTGCTATCCTCCTTTGAGGCTATATCGCAAATGAGTTGTGAAAGCTCTCACTAGGAGGTCCACTTAGCAGTGCAGTGTTCTCCAGCATTTTTTTGATATATTTTTTTTATGATTAGATATATTCCAATAAATTGGCGAAAAGGCTGCATAGCCATGCACCCAGTACAGCATACATATTTGTTGATCAACAAAATATGTCATCGTTATAATAAATAAACTACAAAGTCTCATACATATTTTGCTTGTTTCAGTGCCTAGTTGGCTAATTTATAGGATTACATATATAGATGTTTTTCTTAAATTAATTGTTTTCTCAGGAATAAAGGATAAATTTGTTTGAGGGAACTAAGCCAGTTAAATGGATGTACAGTTGGGGATCAAAATTAAGTCTGAGTCCAGTTGATCATTTTTCTTATATTACAATAATTTACAACAAATGATATCTTGTGAGTTGGAGATTGGATATGTTGATCTGAACATGCATATTTTTGCTGCCGTGCATATATATATATATATATTAATATATATATATATATATATATATGAATATATATATATGAATATATATATATATATATATATATATATATATATATATATATATATTTATATTTATATATTATATATTATTTATAAATTGCATCAACTTACAAATAGGCAGTAATATCAATAAATAAAAATAATTATATATATTTATACTGATATTTTTGTCTTAATACATATATATATATATATATATATATATATATATATATAATATATATATATATATATATTACAGTCAAATCAACTGCTTTGTTCCTGATGTAGTGCTACCTACTGCAGTACTTACTGACCCTATAATAATTGTCAACTTCAAAAATTTGTTGATTTCAATATTTTGGTGACATAAAATATTACCAAAATATTCAAATCAATTGCTCATGTTTTTTGGGCAAGATATTATTTTAAGTGAAGCAAACACTATATAAACTATTGCATACAAGATGGCAAGCAGACAATAAAATGGGGGGGCAAATTCCCCACATGGCACCACCATTAGATCATTGAGATTCTATATTGTAGCATTATCTAATATCTATATTGGATATGCAATTGCATGGTCATGGCAAGACAGCTGTGTAAACATACCTTGCGAAGATCCCGAAAAATTATAAAATCCAAAGACGTGATTGTTGCGTGGCCCTTGGAGAGGATCACCATCATCACCCCGATATTTTACTAACGCAAAACGAATATCGTATATAGCACTTGAAGAACTTGAAGCTAATCTTTGACTTTGTGCAACACGACGTACAATTCCCGCTGTCTCTCTGATAATATATCTCATTGATTCCGTGCAGCTCATAACAAATACTAAATCCACTTGTCCTGGGATGTGTCGTGCAGACAATCTTCTAGCTGTTAACGAGGATCGATACATGTTTTGTTGTCAAGCTAAAAACAATTATATAATCTATCTTTATAATATACTGCTGAAAATCATTCTTGTAATCTTGCTTAATTAATAATTAAGCGCCACGTTTAATGTACCCAGCGAGATTCTCTCTTCCGACAAGCGTAAGCGATTCGTCACTGCACATCGCTTTCTGCGCATGCTTAGCAAGTGACTAGAGGCTTTCACCACCCCCCCCCGAACTGAATTGAAGTGAAAAACTGCACGATGTCGATGTGTTCAAATTAAGCGGAATATATGTACATTTATTGATTTGTACAGGAAATGCTATTCAATGTAAAGATACTCACACACTTTTTTATATAAGATGTGATGAAAAAGGAAGACAGCTCACAGCCCCATAAAAGGCACCGTGCTATTTTTTTGCATTTTCGGATTAGTTAATTTTTCACTAATGTAGTTAAATAAAAACACTAGATAATGGCTTTTTTTCTAATTTCTATGTTATTATTTCTAATGTCTATGTTATTATAGCGTTATATTAAATCCCCCTAATTACCTATACAAGGCTACAACTGTAGTATATATCTTTCACCGTGATTATGATTTAATCGTACCATGTTTTTTCTGTTGAAATAGCAGAGCTATAAGAGTGCGTTCTATCGATGTGTATACTGCACAACGTTGCATGTTGGATAATATGATTTTGTAACAAAAGATTTTCCACCTTCGCTTAATTGTGGTAAACTATTAACCATTTTTGAGTTAAGTGGTGATTTTATTTTTCGACCTGGCAACGTCAAATGCATCCCGTTTCGAAACGGACTTCTTAATTCAAGACCGATCACCTATATCAGCTCAAATCCCAACGACCTGGAACCTCTGACTCCTAGCCACTTCCTGCATGGTTGGACAACTAGGTGGACAATTCGCTCCTGACGTCACTCCCGAAGAAGCTTTTAATCCCAAGAAACGTTGGAGACGTATACAACAACTAATCACTCAGATCTAGAAAAAATAGCGTAAAGAGTTCCTCCCAAGCCTCAACGTAAGAGGAAAGTAGTTCGAACCAAAGAGAGAGCTCAAACCCGAAGATGTTGTTTTGGTGGTTGATCAAACTACTACCCTAGACACAAAAAAGAATAAAAGAAAAAGTAATCGCGAAACCTAGACTCGGTTACCACAATAGCCCGAGTAATAAAGCAGACTTGGTTAGGTATGTAGCTGAGCTGGGGCCATTTGTATGAAAGACTAGTTAACCTTCAATTTTAACTGTAGTTAAAGACACCTCTGTAGGTAAGGACACAATTGGCCAATCAGAGTTGTATATTTTTAGTTAACAAGGGCGCTTTTCCTTAGGCGGCCAAAATGGTCTGACCGGTCATATTTTGAAATGAAATAGAGTATTTCGTTAAGAATATAGCGGTCAAATTGCAACCCCCGTGCTAGGCAGATGTAAATAACGATATGTTGGAATGCAGAGTTTTTGAAACACTCTAAAATACCAGTAATCTGTCCTTATTTTTTTTCTTGCGGTCGAATTCATATTTTAGCGTTGACTCTGCGCTTTTTAATCTCGCGCGGTCCGCAAGACCTCATACAGACCGCTCGCGTAGCCAATGAGATTGCGTCTCCTACAATCGTGTCTAAAAATTTTAATATAATGTCTATAATCACTTCAACAATGTGCATTGATATGAATAGCAATAGTGTATAGATATTAATAAACCTGGGTCACGCCTCAAGTGAAGCCACAGAATGCGAGTACAAAGATGGCAGCTCTTCAAATGTTTGTATCTGGAGTATGAAGATGTCTACGAGTGCATTTATTTGATTTTTAGACACTTGAAAACCGCAATCCAGGTTTATTAATTCATTTTGAAGGCGTGATGGCTATCATCCTTCACTGGACATTTCCGAGAATGCACGTAAAGGCGGATTTCCACTTACAGCGAAATCGTTCGCAAGCGAAAAATTTGCATATTTTCTTTTCAATTGAGAACAGTCAAGTCGAACTAATTTACTTATGCTGTTAAAATTCAAAAGAAAATATGTAAATATTTCGCTAGCGAACGATTTCGCTGTAAGTGGAAATCCGCCTTAATTTATGATTGAGAAACCGAGCATGCTGCATGGTTTGGAGCCAAATTTGACCTCCAAATGCTCGTATGTTTAGATGACATGCGTGCGTGTTACTATAGTGAGAACGATTGCTCGCTTCATAATATGAACCCGCTTTTATCCGAGATTAAACGAAACGTAGGATGATTTTGAGGATAAAAGAAGTCCTTATATGAAACCAAACACGCACTGTTAAGTAAAAGTAGTATGGGATACTACTTCCTGGGATAAATATAGTCTATACGACCACCACTGTGATCATGCTGTTAGGGACGGGAACACGACGACGGCAGCTATCAATACAATGCTTCATTGAAAAGAAATTAATTATTAAATACCTATGGGAGTTTTACACGTGATCTACGTTCTGTTTACAACGGCAAAACGTCGTTTATTACGTCCTATGTAGAACGTCTGCATTGGGCTCGAATTGGGCTCTATATAGAATTGGGCTCTATATAGAATTGTCCCTAAACGTAAACACAATGTTTTCAACGTCTTATATCTCATTAAATTGGTACAGTTGATAATATACAACAACGCTTTATCATAACATTTATTTAAAGGAGTATTCCAGCCACGTCGTCGTCGTGTTGGCGTCCTACATGCTTAAGGTCCCTATTTACTCATTTCAATACCTCAAAGTCATTTTACGTTAAATCTCGTCTAACTGGGCTCATGTAAACAGCCCTTAGGGAGAAAGAACTTGGGGCCGATTGTATTAAACGGTAGTCAACTTTTAAGTATAGTTAGTAACAGAATTGGCCAATCAGAATAATATATGTTTTAGTTAACTACCATTTAAGTACTTAAAATGTAGTTACGAGTTTTTTACAATCGCCCCATGGTTGTAATTAATTGGAAGAGTGAAAACGTGGCCTCGAATTTCTAGTTTTTCAAGCCGTAGACACTAGACACTAGTACATTTTAGTTAAACGTCGTGTGGATGTTTTAACTATAAATGACCCTATTCTTCACGAAATAAAAGCAAGTTAGTTTTGATAAAAAGAAATTTTCTCTGTATTCCCAGACTTGAAAGATATTCCAAGATATAGGTTAAAAATCATCAGCCAACGTTGTATTTTAAAAATAAAACTGACCAGCTTTGTATTTTAGGGGAAAGCTGCACACCCTCTCCTTTCGATTAGTATACCTTGTGTTAGTATGGACATTCCCTCAGGTCTATGGCGTAGCCAGCCTGACAGTTTAGTCCTGCGGTGAATATTTTATGTTATTATCATCATTATTATTCATTTCTATAGAAATGCATTTTTTTCTCAGTCAACACCATGCAATAAAAGATATTAGCATAGCAGGATAAAATTGTCGGGCTGGCTACGTCACTCAGCCAGGGCCTTTAAGAGAAATTTGTCCCACGAGCACACTCAACAGGATTTCGTATATAATGAATCATATATACACCTTGGAATTCCTAAGAAAAAATCCCCCTCAGAAAGGCCCTGGTTACAGTGATGTTATATAGAGTTTCATTGCTGCATTTGATCTCCATCATTGCCATCATTTTCTCCAGTCTCCTGTCTATGCTGAGCCATCGATCGTATAACCAATCTCTCACAAGTACGTGGTGATACCTCGTCTAAAGCAGTGATATCAGCGGAAGTGATCACTCCAACATCGTCGTCTTCATCAGCCACTGCTTGTCGCTGACGAGCTTCCAGTTGCTCTCGTATTGAGGCAGATGCATCTGCCAGTGTGGGCATATGTGATATTGCCCGTGCCTGGTCGGTAAATCCCTCTATTTCCCTATTATTATATCTAATACGTCGCGTGCGGTTGTTGTTTAAGCGAAAAACTCCGTGAATATGTTCGGCTAGTTGATCAACGGTTATGCTGGGGTTGCGTCGGAACGCCAAACTAATGTGATCTCGTACATGCCCCAACAAATTTTCATTCTCCACTTCCTCTTCAGTCAAAAGGACGATTACCTAAATGGAAGAAGTCACGGCATAGTCAATTAAAGCATTATAATACTGACGCGCTCCAATGTAACGGTGCAACGGATCTTTATCATGTGCGAAACACGAAAGTCGAAAGAACATATCGAAAGAACATGTCCGTGTAATTTTAGGAGGTATAAAAGATGATCCGCGTACCAACGGCAATCATCTCTGCCCTTTTCAGTAACACGTTTTTATTCCCTGTAACCAATTGCTGGAAGGCTGAGTACGATCCCCGGTTTCCGTGTTATATATGTACGTAAAATACGTACAATTGTAATAAAATTATATGCATTTTTCACTAAAGACAACTTCTTTTATCAATGCATGAAAATGCAATTACTGAAATGAACACTGCTGAAAGGGCGTGCTAAAACTAGTATACAATATATAGTATTTTTAAAAGTATATACATAATAGTATAAAAGTAGTATATAAAGTATACAGGGTGTATAAAGTATACAGGGTGTATCAAGAAAAAGTTTACACTTCGGAAATTATTATTATTATTATTATTGTTTTTAAAACTTTACTTCATGAGATGACACTTGACAGTATTAATAAAATACTGTCAAGTGTCACCCTCATGAAAAGTTTTAATAATAATAATAATAATAATAATAAATACATTTGAATTGCATACATCGTGGCAAAAATCGCGTCCTGTCTGCATGTGTGGGCCTTTGAGCGAAAAACAAGGATATGAAAAAGAAGGGGGAGAAATACATGTTGAATAACTGATTTTTAACTCATATTGCGATCAAAGATATATCTCTAAATAGTTCTAGGTGAAAAAACAAATGCCTTATATGCCATCTAATATATAGATTTTATTAACTCGCTTGCTCAGTCTTTATAGAAAAATTTCACATCGGTCTTTTCGCGCAAACCTTGCGCGGGACAAGAAGATCTCGGGCCGATATTTCGTGGTAAAGACTCTGCGCTAGGTTAGTATATATATTTTGCAATCTAAATTTAGTAAACTGACCTGTGAGAGTAGATTCGCTCTATGTAGACGAATGTACTGTCCGCCGGTTATAAGGCTAAGACCCATGAAAAAATCTCTAAATGGACGCAGCGCTGGTTCACAGCCAACACAATACAAGATAATACCCCTCGCGGCCATCTGATGACATATTGCAACCGGATCGTGGTTGTCCGGACAGCCATCGGGGATCTCGTCACCAGTCCGATTAAGACCGTGAGGTTGGGCGTCCCCTAGGAAAGAAACAAAAACCCTGATGTTACAAAATATCACTATGCCAGTGAACACAAATAAAACTGGAACGCCGAACGCTCACTCTCTGACTTTCCTTCATTAATGAGCGAAGCCAAGATGGCGGATCACGAAGCCTTTCTTGTAGGTATGATCCAGGCCTCTGGCGCGGAAATTTCAAAAGAAAAAGAAAATTTGCCGCCATTTTACCTAATTTAATTAATTCGATTTTATACGGTCGCGCGAGCGAATTTTTCCCAAACGTTGACCATCACGAATAGACAATGGCTGAGTCAGCCAATCAGAATGTAGGATTTCTAATAGACAACAGTCGGGTGTATACTAAATTCGTATAGCCTTTATAGTCTCATACTAACTCTCCTGACGAAGGCCCTCGGGTCGAAACGTCGAGAAGTGTTTTGTGTATTTTAGGCAGTTGTTATACCACATTTGATGCTAAGTTGTTTGAAGACGCTGCTACGCTGCTCCCTGGTTATACTGGAACTTTAATAGAAAATTTCAGAAATACAAGAAAAGAAGGAAAGAATCCTGCAGTGCAACTCGGCCTTTCAGATATCGTTTTGGTGCATCATATTTTAGCGCTTTTTCAATGGAGAGAGTTTACTCTTCATTTTTGTTATCTGATCTATTCTGCTGGTTCCGTTTTGGACCACCCTTAATCCTCATTTACTTATTTATTCATTTATGTCACATTTGTTTGTCTATTGAATAATTGAAAGTCAACTTACCAATCCAGACACATATTTTTGTAGCTCTTTGTCTGTAGCTTAGACGGAGTCCAGCATGTAGACCATCAGCCACTGCTTCAGGTGTATCACCACCACCAGCGGCAGACATTTCAGAGACCCAGACTGAGGAAACGAAAACAGTGAGCAAAAACAGATTCAAAATTTGACACACTCCTAAAGAAGTGGTGGATCTAGGGTCCTAGGGGTGTGCAGAATAAATTACTACAGCTTAAAATTGGAATCGCATTGGCAGATTTTAATGCAAAAATGTTCTTTTCAAATGGGTAAAAAATAGCGTTGTTATTAAGGTGTTTTGAATTTAAATTAAGCTGTGTAATTTATTCTGCACACCTTTAGATCCGCCAATGAGTCTGTTTTAAAGAAAATTTCTTTGACAATTACTGGAGTTCATTTCCTAATGCATGCAAATTAACAAGTAGATGCATGCATCTGATTATGTTGCTCCGACATGAGAAACCCTACTCTCCTGTCATTGAATAAACTCAATCACATGTGGCATGACGAGAAATTCTTGAACAAGGGTTCATCAAGGGTTCACAATGACGAATATACCCCCATTTTTGAGGTGCTTTTTTTCAAAACCGTAAGCATAAGACCTGTTAATGGTCTGTTGATTCTAAAAAGAATGCCTTTCATGTTGTTATAGTTTTTTAAGCCTATTTGAGGAAAAATTGAGAGTACCCCAAAAATGTTATCATGAGGAAGGCTAATTGCCTTCTCTATTTTTTTTTTATCTATGTCACTAAAATGCATGTTCCCCTGAGCTAGGTTTTACACTTACAAACAATATGAACCAAAAATATGTTATTCAGTTCATTAAATATAAGCATTATTTAAAACCTTGAATTCTGGAATATTTTACAGTCCATTATCTATTTTATTCTATATGAATCCCATTGCACTATCAAAAATCAAACTCTGACTATTTCTGGTTTAAACATTATGAATATTAGATTGCCTCATGAAGTTCTTTGCAAGGTACCTACATTGTACCTTGGCAATGTTATGTGGCAAGGTCACTTATGCATTTTATCACAGCATGTTAATAGATAAATAAGTGGTGTTAAACTATGAATTTTTTTAATTAAAAATGAAAAATTATATCGATTGAACAGTAATTGCCATTGAGAATGTCCTCTTTTCTTCATTGGGAAAATTAGTTACAAGAATGTAACAGGTTATGTTATGGTTTATTTTGTTATGGTTTATTTTGCATTTTTGAATTTTCAAATGAAATTGAATAGTAAAAATATTGTGTACATTTTTATGCTGTTTTATCAATAACATTAACCAGTTGTCTAATGATGTACCATGCTAACAAATCAGAATCTCAGAATAAGTATGAATAAAAGCCTTTAAAAATGTTTTTGCAGATAATTATTTGCAATTTATAAACACAATGTTTTGTCTCCAACAGCCAGTTCTTAAGATTACATTTAACTAGCTACATAAGAGTGAAATGTTGATGTTTATAAAATTCTATAAAAATATTTTCCATTGCAACAGTAATTTTTGTAAATTGTTTTAATAATGGGCTGGGCATTAAAATTTTTGACATTACTTAGCAGTACCGCAAAAAATTGGATATGGTTGGTTTGCAAGCAGGTGTGGCTCAAATATATGGTGTGGCTTGAATCTACAAGATAAATCAGTACTGCTTTATAATCACAGCAAGTCCCATCAATCTCCATAACACATAAACATTCTGCAGTAACAACAGACATATTACAAATGAAAGGGGGTTGCTTTTAAAAGCTTGTCCTGCATATCAATATCATTCTAATTCAAGGTTAATGTTATAATCTTCAAATAAAATCTTGATGACTGCATGTTTAAATATTCATTCCAGAAATAGAAAACCTAGCTGTTCTGGATAAATAAAAGTTCTACTTTGGAAGCCTCAGTATGCATGTTGATGCAAATATATATAAATTACAAAAATTATGAATTTCCGGCAAGCAGGATAAGCGTGAGGTTCCTTGGCTGGGCCGCTGGCAGGCCGCCTTTCATTTGAAAACAAACTTTGAAAATAATGTTACAGCACTAACCTTTGATTTCGTTGACATCGTCCGTGAAATCATGAGACCTAACGACAAAAGAGGTGTCTTGTGGTGGATGATCGCGATATTCCACTAAGGCAAGACGAACATTGAACGCTGTACGCGAGACCCTCTCGGCAATGAATGTAATGTGTCTCTGAACCTGAGCGATGTAGGAGCCCATAGATCCTGTACAATCCACAACGAATGCTAAATCCACTTGTTGTCGGTCGTGATGTGCAATCCATCTCGCAACGGAACGACTCATGTTTCGATTTGCAGGTCGAATTGTAGAAAATATAACGAAAATGTTACAAATTACCAATAAAAACTAACAAACTATAAACAAATAGTAAGAAGTATAGTAAGAAAACCAACGGAGACCCTGGACATGAGCATCATGAGGCTTGAGACTGCAATCGTAATAGATCTGTGTTCATGTTCCTCATTACTTCATGTTATCCATAAAATAGATTTAGGGCGTTTATGCTTTGTAGAAATAGTAATTTCAGATGAAAACCAGCGAAGGTGAAATTAACCGCTCCGCGTACAGTCGCCAAACATATAACTGCTCTGGTCATACGCTCTGGACAGCTGATCTGTCATCCGAGTATCAAAATCAACCAATTAGAAACCAGATCCTCGACAAAAGTGAATCATAATTTCTTCGTTTTCTTCTGAATTATCATTTTCTTTTTCACCGTAAGTTAGAATTTGCATTTTTCGCCTTTGCAGCCAGATCTTCAAAGAAAAGAACAATCACCTGGCGGAAAATTCTGAGAAACCAAAATCATCTGAAGTCGTAACTAGGGGCGCTTTCTTTCTTTTAAGCGGCCAAAATGGTCATAAAATTATTTTGAATTGAATTGAAACGGACTATTTCGTTAAGAATATACCGCTGAAAGTACTTTCTTCGTGCTAGGCAGATGTTTCTTAAATACTTGATATGTTGCGAGAGTTGAGAGAAGCTCTGGCCGTGTTTACCGTATAAAGGAAAACGCCGTAGGGCTCTGGGCTAAAGTTTTCTCATCTGGCTATTCAAAACATAAACAAGAACTAAAACTAACGATTTTATTAACACCATAATAAAAGATGAAAGTTTGCAAATAAATCATCAAGTAATTTTCCAGTTCGCATTTTTTCTATATATTTTTCGCCGCAATGGGGTCACAATTAGCGCCCGCAATATAAAAGCATACAAAGCATTTGGTTACTCACAACCTGGTCTCGTTCTGAAAATTAATATTTGTTTTATTCGCTAGAAGAGAAAGCTGTAGTTTGTAACGACAATTGTCCACTGCAAACCACATAATATTCTGTATCGTTTGTACGCATGTAATTATAAATTGTCAGTATGACAGTATAGCGTTGTGTCATTCATTCCTTGGCTGCTTCTTTCTCGACGTTAAAAGGTTCTTCAACTGGGATAACACCGCTATCTTCGATAACACAGTCCTTCTTCGGTTTACTCTGATCAGCATCCACATTTTCTACCTTTCTTACAACATCCTATGAAAAACGATATTAATCTTATTAATATTATTAGTAGAGATCTGATCACGTTAGCGAAATTTCTCCCACTCGTGAAGGCTCATACTGTCAGCGGGTGTCTTATGAAAAAGTGAGATCATCAGGTGAAATGCAAAACTGTAATTTCTTCGCGCTTTGTGAAGTAAGCCTGCTCTACTGAGACAAGCGCAGATACACGCATAGGAGCTAACAACGGTTAAAGAGAATCCTCAATTTAGGAAAACCAAGGTTGCTCTAAGTTATACCGAACAAACAGGTAATTTTAGAGGGAATGACAACAATCCGATGGATAGCGCTATCGGCTATCCAGCTTTCTAACCGGTTCCTTATCTTTACGTACCATTCCTTCCAATACTTTTCCAAACACAACATGTTTCCCATTTAACCATGGCGTCTTGACAGTGGTGATGAAAAATTGGGAGCCATTCGTATCTTTACCAGCATTGGCCATACTCAACCATCCAGCACCATAGTGACTGATTTTAAAATTCTCATCGGGAAACTTCTCTCCGTAGATACTTTTACCTGTAATACAAAAATTAGGTGGATACGTGAGTCAGGGCGTAATATATAATCAAAGAGACAGATAAATTTCATTTTCGCTCGGTCAGAATCAGATTTTGACCGCTCGCTATGATATACATAGCTACGTAATTTTCACAAATTAGCATGACCAAATCGGGGACGTGTGGGCTATGGCGACGCTTATCAAATACAACAACTAGCTGTTAATAGATGGGTCAATTTGGGTGAGTACCATTTTAAACGTGGTCGGCCAAAGACGTTTAAAACATTGGGTCTGTTAAATTGTCGTTATCTTAATCCCGGGAAAATTAATAGCTATTTCACGGTACCAGTGGCGTATATATCGACTCTTTTTCGTACTGTATGTAAAACAAAATAAAACTGCGTTCCTAACACAAGCGGCTGTTTTCATGTCACCTCCGCGTCGTGGATTTGGCGCATCTTAAACTCACCATTGACAAGGCAAGAACGATTATGAAAATGTTGTCATTTCTTTAATACAATTAACTTCCAGAAAACGTTAAAATTAGCTCAGCTCTACATTTTCATTTTCTACACTAGATATTATGTGGATTTTGTTTTTCGCCTACCTCCGGTGCCATCACCTTTGGTAAAATCGCCTCCTAATTGAGAGAAAAAAACACATTGATTCTCCAAGTTCTAATGTACAGCTCTCATCCATATTTGGCAACTATTGCTATGCAACTCGATACACATTATTTGGCAACTACAGCTATTGCTATGCAACTTGATACACATTAGACATTACTGTACCTTGTATCATGAAGTCCTTTATCACTCGATGAAATTTACTGCCTTTGTATCCAAATCCTTTCTGCATATTTAATTAAAAAAGAAGAAAAAAGTTATTGCACAGCCATCTTGAAAGAAATTCTATCCACATTTAAATAATTTGCACAATATGTGATTAGATTTAGAAGAATTTGCACATGTGATTAAATTGGAAATGATACATACAGGACAAACAGGTCTTAGTGCTTAAACGTCTGAACTATTTTTTTCAGATACCTTATGAATCTACTAAGATATTCAATAATAAGTAATATATACATGAAATACATTTGCAAACCTCATGTGTTGCTAAGCCTACAAAGTTTTTGACAGTCTTTGGAACAGTGCCACCAAACAAACCAATCACAATTCGACCTGCTTTTTCACCACCAATAGTGATATCAAAAAACACCTGCAACATGAAAGGAAAATTTCTCCTCAACTTATATTCATAACAGTTGAGTGACATCACTAAATTATTTCAATTGTGTCAAAGGGCCAGCAGTGCATATACCAGAAGCTTCATTTAGGAAACATGTACATTGTTCAGAGTGCAAATGAAATGGGGCTTAATTCAAATGAGCACAGTTACCCAAGATTTAATTAATTAACAAATAGGGAGATTATTTTGAAGTATTATTTTAAGTCCTTTTGAAACAAAACAAGCACATGCTATTGTTAGGATAACAACATGACCAACAGGATCATGCTGCTTACAGATCACTTCAATACCTCAGTTATTTTATGCTTTGTTTAACTTGGGCTTAGTAAACAGCCCCAGCATTACATTGATTCAAACTTATTGGAAAATTAGGTTGATATATATACAACTATAAAATGGTTGTTTTATATTCTAGAGATTTTAAATTTTAAAAAAATTATTATTCGGTTAAACCATGGTGGAAGGTATTAGTGTTTGACGTATACCAACCCCCCCCCCAATCTAGATCTATGTTTTTATGTTTCAAAACCATATCATGCCAAATGAACAATATTATTGTCCTGGAGAAGAAAATATATTAAGAACTTACTGACTGAGAGTGAGGTCTGTACGGTAAAATATCAAACCGAGGTCGTGCCGTATTGACCGAGCGATAGCGAGGTCAATACACCAAGACCGAGGTTTGATATTTTACCGTACAGACCGAACAGTCGAAGTTAGTAAGTTTTTTATTATGTGCCATATTTCATTCAGACATTGTAATGATTAATTCTTGTTTTCACAGGGCAATAAGAATTGCGTATTGCCCGTGGGCAATACGGGGAAATCCGGACCTGTCAGCAGCCAATCAAATTGCAGAATTAACCAAAACAAGCGCTTGCCATATAATAAATAGTATTATGACCTTGGTAGCTACAAGGCAGTTACCGCTGGGTACCATTAGCCTCCTGTTCATACAGAATAACATTAATAAAAATACTGGATCTGGTAATTTGAATTAATGCTTGCAGCTATTAAAATCTGTATAACTCTCGATCTCTTTAGGGAAAAATGCTCATATTACCCAGGCTAGAGTGCTGATCGGACAAGATTTTAGTTAAATACCTACATTAATTGTAAAATATATCAATTATAAGAGTTGGATCTCCATTTTCGAGACCCTGGGCTAGTTGCCTTCAGGAGCCATGACCTAGCTTTATAGCATTTTTTAAAACTCTCAAAATCCTACCTTGTCTGTTACTTTCGGACCTTTGGCTGCTGAAGCAGTTTTAGCACGAGACAGGAGAAATATAATACATGTAATAGCGGCGGACAATACAATAATAACCTTCATTTTTGAATTCATATAAAACTACTACCAATTTCTTATTCTGTTTAATACGACAACCCCCCTGATAGCAATAAGAAATTACAGAATCCCCTCCTGGAACAGGCTGGACTTGGCCAAAGATTGCAGGCTTGCAGTCATGAAACAGGTGGTGTGCGACACAGACCACGTGGTCGAATTGCGCCAATCAGCGTTAGCTTCTGCAGAAGACAAAATCTTGAGCTTGCCACTAGGGAAAAAGTATCGCACAAAAAAGAGTCTTTTTACAGTACAAAACATTGTTAAATTAGAAATCTCTCTTTGGGAACGGAAGGATGTGACATTTTCATGCAATTATCCATATATACCGCCGGTAAGTTCATTTGTATAAATGTTTTATTCATGATTTATGCAAACGTGCGTTTGTTTATGTCTTGTGAGCTCGCTTTCGTAAGCTCTTCAAACTTTAAAAATTTTTCACTTATTCCTAATGGTTAAAGCTTTATATATGAATAATTCAACAGAGAAAGACATAATAAATCAAAATATTACGGAGTACCAGGGGGTACCTCGTCGCGTTTAGTGTATATTCGCGTTTCTTTTCACCCTAGTTTTAAGCCCTTCGCAGTACTTTGACACGCCATTTTGTAATTATTAATATTTCAGGTGATGGCAATGCGTAAACGAAAAGTTCCATATTCGCCAGGAAATACGCCGGGAAAACCCGCACAAAAGGAAACAAGAACTTCTCATGATGGTTTTTACGTTTAAAAGCAAGCGAAGTCTGCTGTTTAGCCCAGGAAAAGATATGCCAGTCTATAAATCAGAGGTATCTTATATTTTTCAAATACTTTGATACGTTGTTCATAGAGTCTACAATGAAGTATTTCGTTAGTTTTTTTGTTTGCAACTGGTATATTAGAGCTTCATCAATTTGACAACCTGTCTTTATTAATTAGATAACAGCTACATCAGCACCATGGTCTGACAAAGAACTCTCAGCTTTTGTTCAGTTCGTGGCACTATACCATGATTCCTCTAAGTCTGTTTGGCCAACACATAAAGATATGGTATTTTGGGGAAAATTTGCTGCTGCTATTGCAGAATCAACTGGTTTACCATCAAGATCAGGTAGAATGTGTTCCTATAAGTCGTTATATACATTATTATTCATGAATCAAATTTGAAGGCAATGTGGAAATAATGCAAAACTATGCCTGAAAACAGGTCTAAATTCGGACACCTGGATGCTCTCATTCGTGAACATGATAACATTTTGATTGACATTTTTACTGTATTTTCTAGTATTAAATATAATTTAATTCCATTCTAAAATGTTTTTCTCATGACAATCTCAAATAGTCTGGATGATCAATTGTCTTCTTAACAGTGGATAGTGTTGAAAGTAGCTGGTGTTGGTAATAGTAATTAGCATGTGTTTGAAAAGGTTTGGTGTATTTATACAACCTTGCCATGTGCTGCTCATTGTTTGAATAAGCCCCTTACTTAAGAAATAGAAAACATTTTCCGTGTTTCTATACAGTTATAGAAACACGCGTGGGAGTTTGGGAGAACGAGAAATAATCAGTGGGAAAACGAGCCCGTAGGGCGAGTTTTTCCACGTTATTTCGAGTTCTCCCAAACTCCCACAAGTGTTTCTATAACTGTATAGAAACACAGGAAAAACGTTTTCTATTTCTTTTATAATATAACTCGATAAAAAGATTTTGTACAAATTTTAAAATTCGATTCAATTACAAATTCTCATTACATCGCTTTGCTTGTCAAGTTCGGCGGGAAAATTCCCGTGTTTCTATACAGTTATAGAAACACGCTTCTCGACCAATCAGCACGCGCGTACTATAAACGTTATATTATAATGTTAATTGGAAGTACAGTGTAGTTCAACTAAAATAAAAGTTTATAAAACTTTTTTTTTAGAAACCGCTTGTCGATCCAAGATTTTTAAATTCTTCAAGCAGAAATTCAAAACTATTGATGAAGCAGAGGAACATTTCAACATCCAATACTTTGACAATGATGTCCCACTCAGAATACCTACAGAAGACACGAATACATCCACTCCGATTTCTGCCTCACAGTATTATCACTCATCAGCAAACTTTTCACCAGTATTTAAACATAGTCCCTTCACCGAAAAGCATTCAAATGTGAACTCAAGAGGACAAGCAATGAAGTTGATTTGTGAAATGTTTTCTGACCTCACAAAAGTCCAAAGAGCACAGCTCACAACATGTTTATATAACCAATTCCTAATAGATGAAAACATCCCTCAGTCATTTGTTCCTAAAGATTTTCTCCACATTTCAATTTCAGCCATGGGTAATCTTTCTCCTTCGACACTCCTTAAATAATAAAATGAAACAGATTATAACAAATGAATGAGTAAATGTTTAGAGTATGCTCAAGGGTGTGTCATAAATGACAGATTTAAACAGCTATGGTCCAGTTAATAGTCAATTAATATATTGGAGTGAGATTTCAACATTTCATAGAAGTTTCTTGTCATGCCAGGTATTAATGCTGTGTATAAATGTCAGGTATTAAATAATTATAGCAGGTATACTTCAATGGTGACAGGTATTCATGCCAGGTATTCATACAAGAAACGCTTAAAAAATCTCTGCACTAGAAAACTTCGAAATTCCCCCTGGCCCTCCTGAACAAAAATGCTCTCCTGAACTTACATTAATAAGCCCAGATATCAAATCTTGCCCAACAGAAACACCCATCTTAAAATGCTTCCTGGCTTCATTGTGTAAACCTCTGTTCCATAGCTCTAGTCCGATACGAAGATTTTCGTTGCGAACTCTAAAAATATATTCGATAAATTAGGGTATACAATATAGAGTATATAAAACCTAGTCTCCAGAGTCACAAGTCGTATTTCCACATAATGTACTGTGATTTTTACCTTTCTCTTTCTGTATTTACAACTTTCAGAGGAAATTTTCTTCCGTCGAACACGAGTAGTGGCGTTATATTATGGTCATTCAATATATTTACAAATAATAAACAGGAGTTGATACATCTGCAAGTTGAAAATCAAAACATACATTTATCGAGGATGGCATTTCATACTCAATTTACATAAATTTACATTTATAACGGATTATTTACCTGGTTAAATCTCCTCTTTTAAGCGCAATGTCTTCACAGTGAATACTGATAGATTTGTGAAGCCAGCAGTGAATATCAACCGCAGCGACTTTCCCATAAAACTCTCGAAGATGAATTTTCTTTGATGTTAAAATCGGTAAAAGCCCAGAAATACCCATACCGGTATCTATTTTGTCTTGTCATGTGTTCGTGTCAACGATCAAATGCGTTCTAATGAATTTTTTTTATTTGACCCGATATGCTTTGCGGTCTGTGTCGCACACCACCTGGTCATGAAATAAAGCAAGGTCATACAATGGAAAGCTTATCATTCATATTTGTAACAAAAACTTGGCAATGCTTACCTATGCTTACGTGTCCCTTGCAGGTCCTTCCTCGCTTCTGATTGGTCCACGCATGCTCTATATAGGAAAGCCTGACATGTGTTCAAGTCCTCTGTTGTCCTCTGTACTCTTTGTTGCAATAGAAGATGGTGTCTGAAAAATTGGTTTTAGTTTTTCTCACGGTTTTTGCTAGCGCATTAGCCGATAAAGTCCCTGCCACCGTAACCAAACAGTGCTTCTTCGATATTACGATAGGAGGAGTGAAATCTGGGCGAATCGTTGTTGGTTTATTCGGAGATGTTGTTCCAAAAACTGTCGATAATTTCCACCAGCTCTGTACACATCAGGTATTTTGATAGCTTTGCACCGTTCATCCTTTCTATAGATTCATCTATATAAATGCTGATTATACCAAGATTATAACAAGAATCTAGTACTATTTATATGCTGGGATAAACTGTTCTAGTATTTATGTAAATATGGTTTAAATTGTTCCCCATTTATAGTACTTATAAGCTCTTTAACAAAATATACAACTTGCATATATATAGATCAAAAGTAGCCTACTGCATTAATAATAAACGTTTTGGCAAAGAAACCTCAAACAGTTTTGTTTGCAACATAACACTACTTGTTGAATTATGCTTATAACCCTGTCAACTTTGTTATTATAAGCCTCATTTTGTTTCCCTGTATATGGGTTGAAAGATTGAAAATTACTTAATTTTTATTTGCTTTTCATTAAAGCAAGACATTAGTCCTAATGTCCACGTTGTCTTTCAAATTTCAATGTCCCTATTGTACTATTGCACTGTTTTACTTTTGGAGTAAAATACTGTGCAACCCCCAAGTGCAGCTAGCAGAGTTCTACATATTATGCACCTTGCTATTAACCATAAGTTGATTCAATGATTATTTTTAAAATATTAGAAAGGATATGGTTACAAGGGAAGCATTTTCCACAGAGTTATTAAGGATTTCATGATCCAGGGTATGTATACCTAAATGATTAAACTTTTTAAAACATTGAAATATTTGTACATTACAACTGGATGGGTGTGCATGTATATGACACACATGATCCCCAATTATGTACAATTATGTTAAAATACTTTGTTATTAGTAAAAAAATACTGCATCAAATTCAACTACATATGTTCATCAAATATGCAATGCATGCTGGAATATTTCTGAATATGTATGTTTATTCTTGCTTAAAATAAGCCACTTTCAAACATCTAAATTCTTGAAATTTTAAAATTGTTCTCGCTCAGCTCTAACCATTGGCATTGCCTTGAAATCCATCAACTTATATATATTGAAATAAATAAAACTAAAGTTGTATGAAACTTAAAATACTCTTTGAGTCAATTTCAGCAAAATAATTCTTGTGCTAAAATGTCCTCTGGAGCCTCTTTTCTGAAGGGAATGTAACTGCATGCTGAAATCCATTATTTAGGCAGATTTGTGCAAGGAAAAAATGATTATCAGGACAAGTGTGTAGACTAGATCTCTACTCTATAATTTGCATGCATGTGAAAATTTTCATGTGAATTTGGTAGCTATTTAAGAATATATCTTCTTTCAGGTGGTGATTTTACCAACAAAGATGGAACAGGAAGTATTTAAAACAATATTAGTTTTCTTTCAATTTGTATTTAGGGGTTTTGTTTGACTGCATCTATAATGTATCGGTTATTCATATTTTAAAAACAGTAGCACTCGATATACCACCAGCTCCACTCACTCCACCGTACAGCAGTTGGAAGAATTTAATATTTGTTTATATTATGGACTGTATACTAATCATTGAATGCCTCTTTTACAATGCCAAAAATAAATTACCAAGTTTCCTGCAAATCTATTTTTTCAAGGTAAGAGTATCTATGGAGATCGTTTTGCTGATGAAAACTTTAAACTGACTCACTATGGTGCTGGATGGTTGAGTATGGCCAATGCTGGTAAAGATACGAATGGTTCTCAATTCTTTATCACCACTGTAAAGACACCATGGTTAGATGGACGTCATGTTGTGTTTGGTAAAGTGGTCCAAGGGATGGTAAGAAATTTTAATCTTGGTAACCTGCAAACAGATTGCTTTTGAAAGAATACCAAATAGTCATTCGAGCAGGATTGCGTCATCTATACACAAGGGATGTTAGGCGAAAACTTCGCTAAACTTTTCACCACTTCCTAACTACGCAATTCTTAATTAAGTGCCTATTTTTTAATAAAATTACCCCAGTGGGTTTAACCCGTTTTGATATCCCACGCGCACAAAGGTCATTAAATTCCTCGTGCATGATATCTTAAGCCATGCGCACACGACGCGATTTTTGTCGTACGGTTTTAGTCGGCCGATTTTAATCGACAAATATCAAACTGCTTTGAATTCAATTGCAGTCTGCCGACTACAATAGCTTAAAAGTATTCAGTCGACCGACTAAAAACGTACGACAAAAATCGCGTCGTGTAAATATCCTATATGTAAAAAATTATGTTGGTTATTCAACGTTCCAAACGAGGTTTTTTTTCTCTCAGGATGTCGTAAGAAAGATTGAGAACAGTAAGACTGGAGCAAACGACCGACCAACAAAAGAAGTGGTTATTGCTGATTCCGGTGACTTGCCCATCGAGAAGCCTTACGAAGTTGCGAAAGACGCCGTCCAAGAATAGTTACATTTCTCGCTGTACGTCATACACCAATTGTTTGTAACGTCACAAGCGAGTTTTGTTAGTAAATATTTGAATTCTTTTTTTTGTTAATGATTTTGTGGGAATTACTGCATGTAGTAGCTATGTTATCTTTACCCAGAAACATGGTACCTTTTATATGAATCGATTGCCCTCCATATGAAATGTTCGATTAACACCCTACTCATATACACTAGGTTTTACTCATTTTAGATTACTATATGTAAACTACACGGTTATTAGTAGTTAGTGCTACCCCCGTACCCCGTCTTTACTGAGCAAAAATTGCAAGTGTTGATTGCCTTTGGAGGGAACTGAACACTCTCCTCAGGCCTACCTCGCTTTTACCCCTATTCAAAATGATAACGGAAGTGATAAACCAGCTTTTAGGCTATGTGCACACGATGGAGCGTTGTTTTGGAGGGTTCTGAAAATCGTTTTTGTTTATTTTATCGTCATGGCGCCTTTCCCACACGATCCGAAGGACAATATGCTGAATATGTTAAATTAAGTTTAATTTCCATTGTAAATCGGTGTTTGAAACGAAAATGAAAACGCTCGAAACGTTACCGTGTGCGCGTAGTGTAAGTACTTTACTCTTCGACATAAAGGTCCGTTTCATACGCCGTATTTCACATGCGCCGAATACGGTAAAGGTAATGACACAGTAACCCAATTTCCTGCGTAAATGCTTAAAATCTTGTATGAATGACGATATTGTAAAGCTTCAATCAATCGACAATGTTTGAAAAGACGTTTACCAAGAAATATTTCAGGCACTTGCCGAGCCTGAGCAGTTGGTCACAAATAACCGCATATTTAATTACTATATGCCACCTAGTTCTCAGCTCTATTCAGTTCACTGGCTCTGTTTTACTTAATTATCTGCAGAGTGATTCAGGGAACAATGAGAATAGCCAAACAGTAAAATTAATTCGTTTACATTTTCAGCGACCCAAGCAGAATACATAAAATTTAATTTATCGACTTCCGGTAAAAAAGCTCATTGTTTACCATTTCACATGAAGTATTGAACGTTCAGCCTCCTTGTTGATTTAAGGCATTTTCTTTTATGCCAGCGCGGGCAAGGCGCGCTTTGTTTTGTGAACCCTACAAGCCCTCTTGGGCAGGTCTTCAGGAGGCCCGACATAATAAACGAGACGTAAGACAGCATTTGCTCAACTTCCATTCAAAGTATTTACACAAGTTGTAAACTTATGACGCTATATGTTTTGAACAGACACTGAAATATTTTGTATACAGTACTTGGTGCCCCACATTTTTTTATCAATGCTACCTGTCACTGTAGTACAAAATGGCATTGTTTTATAGCCTGGTACCAGACCTCTTGATTCTTCATTTTAATTAAACTCTGAATAACCGATTAAAAACATCTGCAATGAAATGACTAAAAATGGCAAAAATCCACCTAAAAAGCTACATCTTCATCGTCGTTTCGTTATGTCATATCAATCCAGCTGAGAGTCAAAGCGGTCATCAGGCGACATTGGTAACAAGAAAGGTTTTCTTTGATTTGTTAATAGGAGGCAGACCTGCAGGTCGGATTATCTTTGGATTGTTCGGGGTAACAGCTCCCAAAACGGTTACAAATTTCGTTTCGTTGAGTGACCACGAGGTAGGATGTCTAGGACTCATAAATGGGCAAAAACACATGCATGTATCCAATGTTCAAGCATGATTTCCATCACTTGCTTGGTCCCGGTTGATCTTTGCGGCAAAGAATTGTTGTTACTACATGCAACAATATCATAGTTTTTATACATTATTTGATGATATAAAGGAACATTAAAAACAGATTTACCTCGAGACATCATTACAATGTATCGTTAGCATTTAATTGTAAGCACGGGAAAATGATGCTAATGGCCTATTCACGGCCAATTTTTGTCGAATGCAATTCACTTCTGACGTATGGAGTATATGTCCTGTTATTGGCGAATACTGGCTTTGATTTACTGCCCATGAAAATTTCGTGTCAATACACTAAAAAACATACCTCAGAAGTGAACTGGATCCAACAAAATTGGATCGTGTATAAAGCCCATATATATCTTCAAGGCGCTGAAAGTTACGCGATGCAAATTTTCATGAAACTTGCCTCCAAATGCCGTTTACGGCGAGAGTTTCACAAAGTTAGCGTCAGCTCCACTTTGTGCGACGCTTCATGCAACTTGTCACTTCCAGCCAAGAATTTATCCACGTACGCTAAGGTATTGCAAGACAAGTTGCTTGAATTACGTCGTGTGCCAGCGCCTTTATTATGCAACCCCCACACGCCTTTCTAATAATCCAATGTTCAACTGCATTTGGCGATTAGTAGAGAGAATATTGCTCTAGATCAATGTATAGTCCCCCAGGATTCGGGTAAATTCGGTTAATTGTTGCCATGACGTATGGGTACATTATAGCACATTCTGGTTTCATATATTTCTGATTGTATAATTATACTACATAATTGAAAACACGGCCTTAAACCTACAGCTAGTTCTCGTTTATCACCATGACATGCAGTATTTAATTATAAGGTAGTGAAGAATTTTAAACAAATCCACGGTTAAGAATGAGAATCGAAGGAAAATTTTTGGTTCGATCGTAACTCCTTGCTTTTACGCATTTTTAGGAATATACCTTTGACAGCCATGAATTCCGATTATACTCTGGGTGGCAAAATTTGTATAATAAGGACAAGTGTCACATATTTATCATTAAATTAAAAGTAAAGTGATTATTTTATGGTTTTAGTTTGGCTATGGATATAAAGGATCAATATTTCACAGATCTGTTAGGAATTTCATGATTCAAGGTAAGCCATCTTAATTTACTGAATTCGAAATAATGTTGCAATTACCGTAAACGTTTTGAAGCAAGATGATGCCGTATTTTCCTGGACTATAATCGTTGATTCTGTAATGGCCGCTGACTTGCCTTGCGTTGTGTTTAGCTGTGATCGTGAGCAGAGACTACTACCATATTGTATCTCTTTTTATCCTATAGGTGGAGATTTTACAAACGGAGACGGAACTGGAGGTAATAATGACATGTCATCAATGGACGACTTGCACAATAGACCAACTTTTGATCCAGGCGGGAAAAAAAAGGAATTTCCGAAAAGAACAGATATAAATTTGTAAAACGGGCAGGTTTGGCTGCGGTATATTGTAAACAGTACCGAAGATATAGCCAAACGAATTTTGTATACTTTTGTATTATGACCGGAAGTGTGCATGTAATTAAATTAGTTACATGGTTCCACCAGTAATACCAAAGTATGACAAAAATTGCCTACTTCGCATATATATAGCTATATAATTTCCGCAATACTTGACATTTTGCAGCAAAACTTGGTAATTATACTAATTCCAGCATGCTATTTTCAGCTATGGTGACTCTTTCCTTTCTAGTTACCTAGCTAGATCACAATTGGTCTATTATGCAAGCGGCCATTAGGTATTCAGTATTTGCTCATGTTTGCTCATTACTACGCTTGTAAAGTCTATGAAAGTTCATAGCATCAAAATGCTTGAACGTTGCGAATAGTGCAACAAATGCGGTTTCTTTCCAAGAAATCGAACTATAAGTCAAAGCGGCTAAGAAATCTAACTCCTGAGATCCTGAAATGTAGTATTTTTGCCACTAAAAAAATGGAAGCCGATCTTTATTTATCAGTTACCCTGTGTCAGCTTGATTGCTTCTTTGTCTTTAATTTCTAGGCGAGCTTTCATATCTGATAACCATGCATGCATTTTGAATTTCGTTAAATTTATACAAAATTGGTATTGATCTGAAAACCAAACATTGCAGTTTGCCTACATTTCAGTTTACTTTTTTCGATATTTACCAGCCATTTTCATCAGCTAGTCATTTCCCAATCAAGCAGGGTATTGGGTCTAGTCGCAAACCGCAAAGCATCTATGGACTGTTTGGTGGGAAAAACTTCAGACTTATATTTCCTCAAAACAGTCCAATGATTTTTTGCAGTTCGCGACTAGACCCAGTACCCTGCCCGACTGGGAAATGGCTAATTACTCTGGAACACAAAGGAAAACGAGAATATGATGTTGACATGATCTCTTTTTATCTAAAAGGTAAAAGTATCTACGGGAAATATTTCGCAGACGAAAATTTCATCATTAAACATTATGGAAGTGGTTGGTTATGTATGGCAAACGCCGGTAAAGACACAAACGGTTCACAGTTTTATATAACACTTGCAAGAACTGCTTGGCTTGATGGTCATCACACATGCTTTGGAAAAGTTCTTAAAGGAATGGTATGCATAGGTCTTTTAAGTATTGATCTCTCCATCACTGGAACAAAGTGTGGTAATATAGCAATAGCTAATTATTATGGAGTCTATAATGTGCGTAAAAAAGAGATTTTATATTTCGACTGATTCGTATGAGAACATAGCGGTTGAAGTTTGAAGATTGTGTATTTAGGCGGGCCAGATCCCCTCCATGAAAGAAGAGACATGCGCATCTGCACATGAACACCGCCATTTTGCAATCCCTCTATTTCGCCCATGCGCATCTGCCCATGAGCAACGTCATTTTGCTTTGGGGGTTAATTCCGCACTTGTCTCAATAATTGTAACTCTTTGGGCGCGTGACCTTATAAAAAGCCGCCACCACACAAAAGTATTTGATAACTTTGAATCTTTCCATTAGGCGAATTTATTCGCGCGAACAGATAAAAATTTAAAATAGGAAGTGATTCTACTTATTTGCGGCGAATTTTTTCGCAAACCAATCAAATCACCGGATTTCAGATATCGCTTTCCGTCGCGCGAATAAATTCGTGTGTGAAACGGGCTACATTTGGATTACTGTTCAAATTTATTTACTTAAGTTTTTGCCCTGAAAGTCTAATTAATATATGGGGCAATTTTTCGAATCCTGGTATAAACTATAAAACGTCACACTGGGCCCCACGAAAGATTACTCCGTCCCTGCATGGGTAATGCATGTGATATTTTTAGGAACTATGAAATTAATTATATGCACGGTATTCGAAAGAACATTTAGAACGTAGTCGTGAGGGAAAATAATTTATCAATAATAATTTGTTTTTTCATTACATGCTATGGATGCATGGGACTTTCGTTTGTTTTTTTTAGGAAATTGTGAGGAAAATCGAGGAAATACCAACAGACAATCAAAGCCGGCCAAAATCCACAGTGAAAATCGTAAATTCCGGAATTCTTGCACTGGACAGGCCATTTGAAGTTCCGATGACAAATGCTTAAAAGCAAACAGTCACCGTATATTGTAGAGTGAATTAGGCAGAAAAATGTTTAGTCCGCTTTCAAAAATCATGTCAGTTACACTTGAACAGTTTGAATTTTTTAACAAACCTTGAAGTCTCATTAGATGATTTTTGCATCAATAGCTATAAGCTTCAATATTTAGAAATCGCACTTATTACTTATAATTTCAAGATAGACATTTAAACTAGTTCGTTTGGAACTCATCCTAATAACATAAACAACAAATCGAAAAGCATCCTGCAACGAAAAACGACCATGAAAATCGGGTCTCGGAACTGTTAATTTGCACCGAACGGTCAGTGGCTCTGCAAAGATCGCCACTTTGCCGAATTTTTCTCCAGTTGATCATACTGCAATTAGGACAAGAGCTATAAATACTTCAACACTGATAAAAGAGTAAAAAAGGAAGTGATATATAGGTCTTGTTTACAAATGCTTTGCTATGCATTGTTTGACCGGTTTAATGTCTATATTTTTGAAATGGTGGTTTTGAAATTTTCCACAAATAAATTTATGGATTCCCTGACAGGCTTTTCAGCAGAAAATACTATATCAATAAACGCCATTTTTAGGGTGGAAGTACTTGAGTTTTCCTTTGACTGCACCAAATTTCTCTGACGCAACACATTCGTAAATATTAGTGTCATTTTTCTGCGCATGCCCAATAACCAGAAACAAAAACGATTTTCCGACGAGATATCGGATCCGCCCGTTTGTCGAAAGTTGCAAAATTTGCCCATGTGTGTATATACCAGCCATTAATCATCGCGCCAGTCGGTAGAGGCGCATTTAAAGCGAACCGTGCCACCAATGTCGGCCACGTACGAATCGCGTGGAAATTTTGGATTGCCAGCTTCGATTTCTCCAGAAAGAAATAAGGGGTAAAAAAGGTGTAAAGTAGGATCAATTTTTCTGCGCTTAATTTTATGGTTCATCTTTTGCCCCGCGTCAGAACGACAGTCAAAATGGCAGTCAAACAGCTTTGATAAAATTGCAAACTGAAAATTTAAAGTTACAACTTGATATGATTTAAACCAGACTTTAGCAATAGCATCTATATTCGTTGCGACGTTGCAGGGCTATTGCTAGTTCTATACGCACTCACTCACATATGTTCATATATACATCTTGCAACTGGATCCATTTGCTTAGGAACATGATAGCAATTTTATTTAATTGTATGCTTATGCAAATTTTCTTTCGCATGCATATAATAAATAAAGATGATAAATGTGTTAATTGTACAAGAAAAACTTAATAATTTATTGTCTAAAAAACTGTCCTTTGAACGACACGGAAATTGATTCGGCGTACAATCATATTTTGAGTTTAAAAGGAAATATAAATTATATCGGAGATGCGGGGAAAAAGCTTCAGTAAAAGTTGATATTGCCGAAGACTTCTGGATGAAATAATCTGGCCTTAGTTTACAAGGTTAGTTTCGAAGGATAAAAATTTGTACTACGGAACCAGGGTAGGTTAGAATAAATTACCACACTTCTAAAATTACCACGCTTGAAAGTTATGGTAAGCAGTAGAGAGACGTAATAAAAATAATTATAAGCTTATAGCGCTATTCCCGCTATATTGCGGAAAATTGCCCACAAAATATATTAAAAATATCTCTTCTGTATTGAAATAGAAATGTTTATTGGATTGGTTTGGATGCAAACATTTAGGATGGAGAGCATTAGGAGACATATAAAAATTTTTTTGCTAATTTTTTCCCTTTGAATCAGACAAACAGTAAAGCTTCAGACAACTGCAAAGAATTTTCAAGTTACAACATTCAATAAGGATAGAGATTCTTGCTAACGGTATGGTCCTTATGTTTTTGCGAACTATTTAACAATTAGTCACCGCCGGATCGGGGATTGCAAGGCTATATTCACTTCGCCCTAATCGTTTTAGTATATAATTTCAATATTGAAAAAGTTTTATTTATTGATAAAACTACAAATAAACAATAAACGGAGTTCATTTTATTCATATAAATTGCAAAGTGATTGACTCGATTTTTGAGTCACGCAACCTGCATGAATATACATGTATCGCACGACCTGAAAATTAAACGGCTACTAAAACTTTCGTATCAGCAACAAGTTGGTTGACAAGCATAGGTAAAACAGTTGACCAAGTAATCCTCCAATTAAACGAGACACTAAGCCGTGTGAGTGAATGGTGTAACAAAAACGGAATGACAGTCCATCCAGGTGAAACAGAAGCTATGCTCTTAAAGCGTGGAACTTTCGTAGGTCCTCTATACCACCATGCAGTGCAGTTGAATGGCAGCTTTGTGCGGTAGGTAAAGGAGTCAAAATCCTCAGGAGCAACCATGGACAACAAACTGAAATGGAAAGGACACATAGAAAATGTCACACTTGCAATTGTTAGAAAACTAAGGCTGCTAAAGTCAATGGGCTAGCTTCCTCGCAAAATATATCTCCTCCCAATCTCTAGGTATCTATCCTTAAAAACGACGTCAAAGTGGCGATATTTCAATATAATTCGAAGCCGGATTGAAAACGGAATGTCGTAATATTTCAAGTTTACACCCACTTATAATTCACTATAAAAGTATCTAATGAAACCTGTGAAATATCTAATTTAGTACAAATTAAAATTCAATCTACAGCTAACCTTGAGATGTGGAATGAGACGTATATATCTGCAGGCTGTGTCATCATGCATGCAAGCCCCCAATTTTTTTAAATCTACTTTGTATTTTCAATGAAAATATTTTTCTACCTTAACGATGCTTTTAACCTGAGTAAATATTGACCTTATTATTCTGATCAGAAATTTCTGATCAGAAAAGACTCAAAGCACTCTTCTTTCAACAATCAGAAATAATCAACAAAGTATAGACAAAACAACAGAGTATAGACAGAAAGCCTCAAATATATACCACCTTTATTCGTCGTTTATAACTTCGTTGTCATTCCACTTATATTGACATAGCATTGGTTGTAGGTATATGTAGGCTTATAATTTGGAAAGATCGATTGACAATCCATATATATATAAATGTATATTTGTTGCTCTCAATAATTCATTAAACGTGGTATTTGAAACTTATATTTGTTATCATATGCACGAATTTACAGAATGTCAATAATTATAGTAATTATGATTTTGGAATTGATTGAACCAGGATGAAATAAAATAAACCGATTGCGGAGAAATAAATCCACGAAACTGCATGTCATAATGGAATGAGTCAATTATAGAATGAAATAAACTTCCACATGAAAACGTTACACAGAAAGAGTTTCTTTGTTGTTGTTATTCTGGGAATGCAATGCTTGGGTGATGATACATAATATACATAAAATAATTATATAAACAACCCAGACAGCATGAAACGTTTTTTAAGACCGGAGTGGCTGTTGAAATCTTAATGTTTCAGAGTACGTGCTAACCCGACGTTATCAGTGAGATTGGTCGACGGACACGGCCGCTGAATATCTGTAAGTACTATAGACATACATCAATAAATTATTTTGATTTCAATATTCGACCGACAATCTATATCAACTCTACACTTTATTTGAGAAATTGTATCGCAACAAGCCTATGCATTGGGACGACAAATATACATATAGGTGACACGCTAAAGTATAAAACGTCAGTTCAACGGTACTATAGCAATGTTTTTTTATTGCAATGGCAATGCCAATATGATATAATTTTGGTATACCTTCAGTAAACTTAATTAACTATCAATAATTTTGTGACCGGAAATAAATAGGAAACCTAAAATACGGAAAACTTTATAGCTATATATAATGTTTTTGCCATCTCGTATATACGTTATTTGCAAGTCATTTTCAATTTTCTCACTTTCAATTACTCTATGTCTCTAAATATACGTATTCAATAATCATGACAATCATAAGATATGTTTAAAGCAGACCAGGGGCCGGTTGTATCAAGCCCGTTTAGCTTAAACGGTGTTTAAGTTCAAAATAGAAAGCAAGTCTATCGTATATTCAAGAAACAAACTAAATGTTTTTAACCTTAATACAAAGATATGTACTGTTTACAACTATATATTCAGTGCATAAAATTCAAGTTGACCCATTCAAGAGAGATGTAAGAGTGTTATTTAATTTTGACTTATCCGCCGTTTAAGCTAAACGGCCTTGATACAACCGGGCCCAGCAAACTATCAACGGTATAGCAGGAAATGTAAAAAAATGCTCTTGTTTTGAGCACCGACAACTTTCAGGCAGTGTAGCGTTTAATTGCAGCGTTTAAGTTCAGCGTTTAATTCATATTAATTTGTATCTTTATCAGCTGATATTATAGGTACAATACGTTATTTTAAATCAGCTAAAACATCTTAAACAACAAAAGTCTCCGTTTATTCGTTCTAGAAAACGTGAAATAAATTCACCCGTGCATATTATGCAATATTCTTGTAAGAAAGTGCTTTACCAGTCTATCTTTATCAGCATGCATGTCATGCCGGGTACTAGGAAATAGGTTCTACGAAGATGCACATTTCATAATTGACCATGTTATATAGGTTGAAATCTTGGTTGTTGTTTTTTAATTGCTAAATATATTTTGAAAGTTCAGTGTTATTCGCGTACCTTTTGTGTCTAAAAGATTTGATTCATGCATGTATCGCTATATTTAAATATGTTTGCGGTCATGCCGAAAACCGATGTAGTGCTTTGTATTGCTGGCAGTGCCATTGCCATAGTGGTGACAGTTGCCCTGAATATATACAACGGACTTCACGTTGACCATACAACTGTAGCTTATCTTATAACTGCATGTTTATGCAGCTTAACAACATTGCATGGTCCTCTCACTCTCGATTTGGTAAATAGGTGCTGCGTCATTTTATTATGCTCGTCAGACGAGAGTGATGGCGATATGCGTTTATTAATTGCTGTTGCTAATTGTTTTATGATGCATGGTGGGTGGTAAAATTGGAATGTTGGTTAAAAAAAGAAACTGTTTACGAGTTTCTATACAGTTATAGAAACACGCGTGGGAGTTTGAGAGAACTCGAAATGATGTGGAAAAACTCGCCATTTCTATAACTATATAGAAAAAAAGGAAAACATGTTTTCTATTTCTTATAATATTATATCTCAACTGTGAATCATCCAATCAGAAAGCTCGATTTGTACCACGTGATCAGTAAATTAATCATGGAGTTCCATCGAATTTTTCACATTATGCTATAAAAGTCGAGTTTCGACTTCGAATACCCCGCTGCGTGTACCACGCGTGGTTGCCTCGCACACGACTCGAGGTTGTCAACAATTTCAAAATGGAGGCAAAAGAAGCCTTTTCACGCAGCTTTTGCGCTGCCTACACGTTGTTTCGGTATAATATATAATTTATAGACCTTCCGCTCGGGGAATTCGACGAAACACTACCCCCTCGGGAAGATATATCTTCCCTTGGGGGTAATATTTCGTCGAGTTCACCTCGCTCCAGGTCTATAAATGATAAATATAACTGAATAAAAAGATTTTGTACAAGTATTATGATTCGATTGAATTACAAATTCTCATTACATCGCTTCGCATGTTAAGTTCGGCGAGAGCGAAAAGTCCCATGTTTCTAT